CACAAGGGGAGAGGATGAGCTGGCTGCATTCTCCACACTGGAAAGGCCCTTCCTCAGTGCCTGGCATGAGCTCTGGCGCCAGGCCAGCATCCTGGGTGGTCAGTGCCTCTTCCTCTGAGACAGCGAGCATATGCTGCTCCTGGTGCGAGAGGACTTCCTCCAGGGTGTTATAGAGGCCGCCACACTCGGAGCACATGAACTGGTGGTGCTGGAAGAAAAGGGATGAAGCAAGGGCCTCCCCCGGTGTCATCTCAGTCACCTCAGTCGACATCTCTGTCATCTCCCCTGACATGGGCGTTGACATTTCTACTGTCCCTGGTGACATCTGTGTTGGCATCTCAGCCACCTCAGCCACCACGTCTGCCATTGTGGGGATGACAGCCTGGAGAAAGAGCGGTGGAAGCTGGTGAGGCACCAGGAACCTGAGAGGAGAGGAGGCAATCTCATGAGTTTGCCTGCCCATCCCGTTACTTACCAGCTGCTACCAGTCAAGAAGTCTTACTGCAATGTTTATGCCTCAGTCTTCGATGATCTTGTGTCTCTGAGCCTATACACGCCCCATGGCAGTCAGGCATCTGACTGAAAGAGAGAAAGGAGAGAAAGCACTTCTCAGCCTGGCCTCTGATACTGCCCTCTTCACCCAGAAGGCAAGTCATACCCTTTTTGAGAACATAACAGCCTTTGCCTGCTGTGTAGTTTCCTCTTTGTGCAATACCTTTCTTCCTTCTCTTAGCATACAGAGGTACACTAAAGTGTTTAAGAACATAGGCCCTGCCTGGGCTGGGTGTGGTAGCTCATAGCTCACATCTGTAATCCTAGCACTTTGGGAGGCTGAAGCAGGAGGATGGCTTCAGCTCAGGAATTTGAGATCAACCTGAGCCAAGAATGAGACCCAGTCTCTACTAAAAATAGAAAAATTAGCTGGTGTGGTGGCATGTGCCTGTAGTCCCAGCTCCTTGGGAGGCTGAGGCAGGAGGACTGCTTGAGCCCAAGAGTTGGAGGTTGCTGTAGTTAGGCTGACACCATGGCACTCTAGTCTTGGCAACAGAGCAAGACCCTGTCTCTCAAAAACAAAAAACAAAAACATAGGGCCTGGAACCAGACTGCTCTTGACTTAAATCTGAGCTCTACCACTTATTTCCTCTCTCTGAGATTATTTTCTCACCTGTAAAATGGGGCTAAAAGTAGTACTGACACAAAGTCCCTGGTACTTGTTAAAAGTTAGCTATAACCATTACCTGTAGTTTTCCAGAAAGTTTGTTTTTGGACATTAAGTCTTTAATGCTGCTAATCCCTCTGCCAAAAAAGTTCTGTCCTTTTTTTGTCTGGCAAACTCCTACCCAGCACCTCTTTTGTAAGCCTTCTCTGACAACATCTCTACATGCTTAGGGTGGTAGCCATTCCTTCCTCCTTGGGGTTCCTGTGGTATCCTGTGCCACCTCTAACACAACAAATATCGTAAGCTTGGGATGGCATCTCTGTACCCCTCACTGGACTAAGAGAGCTTGTGGGTCTGATTCATTGTAGGAGCTCTAGTTACCAACAAAACCAAGACCAGGGACAAGAATTTTAACTTTCAAACTTCACTCTATGTGTCCCATCTCCCCTTTTACTTGTGTAAGCTCAACCCAACCCAGGCCCCTTCACACAGCAGGGGCTCGGAGTCCATTCAGCAAATGACTGTCCCCTCCCAGGCCTGGCAGCTAATTTTGTGAATCCAATCTCCATCTTCTTTATCTCTTCTTCACCTCATTTGTTAGTCCCTGAGGACAGATGGAGTTTAGCTTACAGACCTGTATGTAGAAGTTTCTCATATTAAGCTCCCAGAGGGCAGGGATTTTAGCCTGTTCATCACTGGGGTATTTCCAGTGCCAAAAAAATGCCCAACACACAGCAGGCACTCAGATAGTGAATGAATGATGCTCCTTCAGGAAGTGAGGCCCTGGGAGTTTAACTGTCTCTGTGTCCATTCCACTTCTACCTGACCAATTCTCCAATTAGACATGAATTCCCACAATATATAGCCCAGTATAGACTCTGCTTTCTTTTTTTTTTTTTTTGAGACAAGAGTCTCGCTTTGTTGCCCAGGCTAGAGTGCAGTGGCATCAGCCTAGCTCACAGCAACCTCAAACTCCTGGGCTCAAGCGATCCTCCTGCCTCAGCCTCCCAAGTAGCTGAGACTATAGGCATGCGCCACCATGCCCAGCTAATTTTTTCTATATATATTAGTTGGCCAATTAATTTCTTTCTATTTTATAGTAGAGACGGGGTCTTGCTCTTGCTCAGGCTGGTTTCGAACTCCTGACCTAGAGCTATCTGCCCGCCTTGGCCTCCCAGAGTGCTAGGATTACAGGTGTGAGCCACCACCCCCAGCCTAGACCCTGCTTTCTGTTGGTGTCCAATGAATGTTCCTTGAGTAAGTGAGTCACTAAAAGTCCAGAAGCTAAACTTTCTTTAGATACTATTTCAACTCCCTCACTAATTTTTGAGTTGCCATAGTCCTGCACACAACAGTTATTCCATAAAAGATCTTCCTGAGATTACTCAACCTGGGGCCCAAGAATTCCATTTTTCCTTGTTTACAGCCCCACTCCAAACAGAGAACTTCCTTCCGGCCAGGCCTGGTGCCTGCTGCAAAGCTTGCACAAAACAGGCACCAAATAAATGTCTCTCTAGAAGGCAGCCCGAGAGGCCTAAAATCTGCATTTTCCTTGTCTACATTCCCCTTTCCCAATCTTGTTTGCGAATGACTCAGGGGAGAAATGGGGATTTTCATACAGTAGATCAATTAGTTCTTCCAGGAACGAACCCCTACCAGGGACCAGGAAGTTCAACTTTCCCGCTGCACAACCCTTTTCTTCTACCAGACTCATCTCGGCAGCCCGAGAGCTCCCTGCAGGGCGTTGGGGTTAGGGTGGGGGGCGAGCTCAAGCTTAGGGTCCTGCACACCTCAGCTCAACCAACGCTCCGGGGCATACAGGAAGGAGCGCTCTCCTGCCACCCAGCGCTGCTCCCGCCCTAGCGCAGGCCCCAAAGCTTTTAGACCTCTGGTGTCCCCTGCGTTCTCCCTCCGCGCACTCCGTACGCCCAGAGCTCTCTTCCCCGGCCCACCCCGCGGCGCCCTCACCCGTTTCTTTCGCCTCCTGCAGCCCCTGCGCCTCTTGACACAGACCCTTGGCTCCAAGCGTGTAGGACCCCTCACTATCCACACCTCCCATTGGGCGGCGCCCTTACCCGTGGCGGCCAATCAGAACCGGTAGCGCAGGGCACGCGCCCTTGCGCCTGCGTGTTGACGCTCAGGCGGGGCTCCAGGAGTTCTCCACGCACACATCTGTGCCCTATGGGCGGGGCTTGGGGCGAGGAGAAGCGCCTGCGCAGTTCTCCCTGGCCGCTCCTTTCCTAGCCTCTGAAAGTTCAGTAGAAAGAAGGGGGCAGTCTGGGAGAGCGCGGGCCTGTGCAGTGGACTGGGCGGCGGGAGACCTTGACAGATGTCATTTCATAGCTGAAGAGACTGAGCATCTCTGAGAGCAAAGCTTTGGAGCTAGACACACTTGGGGTACTTCTCCTCTCCCTGCCTCAGTTTTACTGGTGTAAAGTGGGCTTGAGTCGCATCCACCTCAAAGGCTGTTGAGGGGATTGGATGATGTCACACATGTAAAAGCACTAAGCACAGGGCCTACTACACTGCGGGTGTTCACTATGACCCATCTAACAAGGACGTAATCCCTCCTAGTTTGTAAAATTGCTTTCCAGTTCCTCCTACTCTTCGTTTGATTCAATGGTAGTCGCTTATCTGGCGCCCGCTGTGTGTCCGGCCCTGGAGTGTGCTTCCGTAGGTGACCATTGCCATCCATCTCTTTCACGAGTAGGGAAACTGAGGCCCAGAGAAGAGATGGGAAGGGATTCTTCTGAGGCCACTGCTACAGACCAAGCAGAGCCAGTGCTGGGTCAGTGCCAGGCAGAACCCAGGTCTCCTGCCTACCAAGGGGAGATAATTGCGGGGTTAGGAACTGGTCGGGGAGGGGACCTATCTTAAGCATACTCAGGCCCTGACTTTGAGTCACCTAAGTGCAGGGTGGGGCGGCTGTCACACCCAAGGCCCCGTGGCTAGGGGACTCTACGCTGACTTCCCCTACAGACCTGCTCTAGTTGGTGCTGGTTAGGGAAGGGGCATCTGGGGCGTTCTGTGACCTTAGAGGTGCTGTTCTGATCCTGAGTGAGGATGTCTGACTGTGATGAAGGGTCATGATGGATGCCATTGGGGGATGCACAGTCGGGGTGGAGGAGTCTATTGTGATTTGGTAGGAGGTGTCAGTATGAGATGAGGGAGTCTTGGTCTCTATTAGGGGAAGAAACTCATAGATGGGGGCGGGGTTTCTGTTGAATAGGGGGAATGTTCCAGTTGGGATCATGAGACATCACAGTTGAGATGTAGGTTCCTGGTTGCCACTAGGAGTGAGGAACAATCTAATGGAGGAGGAGTGTCCAGGTCCCGATCATAAGAGGCCCAGGCACCCCCGGGAGCCAGGCATGTTGTGATTGTGGTCCTTTGCCACAGGCAGCTGGGGGCAGTGGTAATGTGGGCGTCTAGGTCGTGATGACGAGGGAGCTGTAGTCCATGGGAAGAATAATTCCAACAGGTCGTGACATTGGGGCTACAGGGACCCGGTGGCTTAAGTCACCCGAGGGCATTAGGGACCCAGAAACCGGGTAAGACATCCAGCCCCAGAGGTAGCGCTGAGCTCGCTCCGCGCAAGCGCAGCACAGGCCGGCCAGGACGCTTCAGTTGGGGGCGGGTAAGGCAGCCCAGGAAGGGCGGGGCTTGAAGGCCTCATTCTGCGCTTGCGCCTAAGGGGCGTGGCGGTCGCACCTGCGCGAGTTGGGGGAAGGAGGAGGGGCGAGGTGACGCAGGCGTAATAATAGAGAAGGTGCCAGAAAGATCCAAAACAAGTGGCTGCGGCCGTCGCCCAGGAGTCTTCGGACGCCGGAATCCGGTGAGGGGGTAGAGAAGCCTAATGGCGACCGGTGGCGAGTAGATGGAACCACCTAGGCTGCGGGGAGAGGGCGGGACCGCCCTTATACGGCGAGGGGTCGGCTTTGGACGGTACCACCTGTGTGGAGAGAGGGCTGCCTCGGTCCGTCCCACTTGTAGTGAGCAGAGGGTCGCTTTCGGGCGGTACCACTTGGATGGAGCCGAGGGACTAATCGGACGGTACCACTGGGGAGCCGCGGGGCAAGTCCGGGCGGTACTACCCAGAGTCACAGGGCAGCGGGCAGTGTGGGCCGGAGTGGGCCCCGGGCTTGTTCGGGCCGCGTCCCTGGGTCGCCTCTGAGGCTGGCTGGGAACGTACCACCTGGGCAGGGGCGTTCAGGCTCTGCGGCCCGGCTGGTCAGGACGAGCGGGGTCTGGCGTCTCGACCTGTTACTAGGGGACCTCGGGCGAGACCATTCCCTTCGGGGGAGGGGGAGGCTGCGCCGAGTGGGGGTGTGAGTGCGGCCCTGCCTGGCGCGGCGGGGTTGGGGACTCGCACTGGCGGTATGGGGTTCGGGCCCCCGCGTCGCTGACCTCTGCCTCCTCCCCACCGTGTGGGTTCTAGGCCTCGGTTCTGAGCTTGTTCCACCTCCTTCCCCCGGGAATGGCGTTGTCTGGGTCGACCCCGGCCCCGAGCTGGGAGGAGGATGAATGCTTGGACTACTACGGGATGCTGTCGCTTCACCGTATGTTCGAGGTGGTGGGCGGGCAACTGACCGAGTGCGAGCTGGAGCTCCTGGCCTTCCTGCTGGACGAGGCCCCCGGCGCCGCTGGCGGTTTGGCCCGTGCCCGCAGTGGCCTGGAGCTGCTGCTGGAGCTGGAGCGCCGCGGGCAGTGCGACGAGAGCAACCTGCGGCTGCTGGGGCAACTCCTGCGTGTGCTGGCCCGCCACGACCTGCTGCCGCACCTGGCGCGCAAGCGGCGCCGGCCAGGTAGGGTTGAATGGGAGGGTGCCAGACTTCCGGCGAGGAGAGGGCCTTGGTCCTGCTGGGTTCCTGTATCAGACAGCCTGTGTCCTGTGCCACCCCTTCTTTTCCCAGAATATTAATGAGACACATGAGAGGGAGGAGGCATGACTTTGGGAGGGATGAGTATGTAGGATTTGGTCATGTCAATAATAATGTTTATGGCCACTGTTTATGGAGAGCTTGTTTCATGCGAGGAGCAGCTGTAAGCTCTGTATGAATTGTCTCCTTATATTCTCCAAGTAATCCTACGAGGAAGTTCTGTTACTCTTTGCACTGTACAGAGGAAATAAGTTCAGAGAAGTTAAGCAGCTTGCCCACATACAAGAACTCAATCTGTGTACCAGGCATAAAGGTTATGAGGTGTAGTAGGCTAACAAGGAGTTTGTTCCTTGAAGTTTGCAGTTAGTGGGGCAGCGAGACAATAAAACAGATAAACAACCAACTTACTTTTAGATGTGGTTGTAGAGAGACTAAAAGTAATGGAATTGAGAGACTTGGGAGAGCAGCAAAGTGACAAGAGTCAGCTTTAGATTGGATAACCCACGAAGAGCTTTCTGAGAAGATGATGTTTAAACTGAGGCTGCACTACCAGCCATGCACAGATCTCGGAGAGAATTCCAGCCAGCATCCAAAGCCTGAGGTTGGAATGAGCTTGGCATCATCAGAGGCCAGTGTAGCAGGAACAGAGGGGACCCAAGCAAGGGCAGAGAGGTAGACGAGAAGCCATGTCATGAAAGAGCTTGCAGATAATTTAGCTAGAAGGTGTGGGAGCCAGCATTCAAACCCACCTGGTTTGTCTCCAGAGTTGATGCCCTTAATCCTCGTGAGGGAAGTGCTCCTGGAGGATAGCAGTCTTGAGGTGAGGAGCTGGGAGGGTTTCAGACTGCCACTAGCCCTGTGCATGCATAGGCATTTGAGCCCCTGGCTGGGTCACTGGAGGTGCAATGGCTAGGTTGGGGAGGGGAGATTATGGGGTTCCCTGACCCAGAGTAGGTCCATGGGATTTAGATGACGAGGACAGTTCTAGGGAAGGGCTGACAGTGTTTTGGAAAAATATGTCAGAGGGTCAGGCTGTAGAAGAGAAGATGTGGGGAGCCTGTAGAGAGGCCTGCTTACTCCTAGGGTCTCAGGGAGAGCTGGGGACAGGTGAGGTGGGGGGAAGGGGCCATTGCAGGGATCCTGACGATGACTACTTACAGTTTGAGCTGTGTAGACATGGGTTGGCTAGCCCCTAGAGGTGAGGAGTCCTCTGTTCTGGGAGGCATCTGAGCAACCTCTGGGCAGCTGTTTGAGAAGGAGTGGATATTCAGGCTCCAACCTCTGGGGAACTTAGGCACCCTGTGGTGCAGGCTTTCTTCTAGGGGTGGGAATTGGTGGCAGGAGGCTGAATGCTTCTTCCCTTTCTTTTCTTCCCCTAGTATCTCCGGAACGATACAGCTATGGCACCTCCAGTTCTTCAAAGAGGACAGAGGGCAGCTGTCGGCGCCGTCGGGAGTCAAGCAGTTCTTCAGATTCTCACCAGGGTCAGTGGGAGACAGGTGAGCCCAGCTTAGTGGGCATGAGGGCAGTATCCCTCTCTTCCTTCTGAACTTTGCTGGACCTCTTCTATCCTCAGGGGGCCTGAAAGGGTCTTTCTGTCTTATTTTCACTGTATGTATATTGCTATAGAAGCACTATTCTGAAGCAAAATACAGAATTGTCGCCTGTGGTTTTGTATATCATTTAAGTGGCATTACATTATGGGTATTGTTCTGCACCTGGCTGCCTTTACTGGATATATTTCTGATTAATTCGTATTCAGTACCTCTGATTGGTTTCTTTTAATTGCCATGCCCCAGTTTATTTAATCTCTCCCCACAGTTTTTTTATTATGTAAAATTTCAAACATACAGAAAAGTTGGAAGGTTAGTACAGTGAACATTACCACTCAGATAATTATCAACATTTTACTTTGTGTGTGTATGTATGTATGTACTTCTGGTGTTTTTGTTGAATTCTTTGAAAGTAAATTACAGACATCAGGATGCTTTATCCCTAAATTAGCAGGCATCTATGAAGAATAAGGATATTTTCCTAAACCACTTTAAGACTGTTGTCAATCTAAGAAAACAATTACTATTTCTCTGATATCCTGATGGTCCATTTTCAGATATCCCAAGGTTGCCTCAGTGTTCAGAATCCGTTTGTAGTTGTTATGCATTCAATTGTTATGTTTCTTTAATCTTTTACTACATAGAACAGAAACTTCTCCCCCTGCTGTACATTTTTGTTTTTCCCATGACATTGACTTATTTACCCTACCAGGCCAGTTGTTTTGTAGCATGTCCCAATTATTTCTGGTTCTGTCTGATTATTTCCTGATGGAGTCTTTCAACTTGTCCACCTCTTCCTCTTATACTTTCTGTTAAGTGGGAGTTATGTCTGCAAGCTTGGTTAGATTCAGCTTACACCACATTTTTGGCAGGAATACTCCTTGGTCAATGCTATCTACTTCATATTGGAGCACATCACGAGGCATATAAGGTCTGGTTTTCCCTATGTGAGTGGGGAAATTTGATCACTTAGTGAAGGTGATGTCTGCCGTGTTAATCCATCATAAAGGGACATTTCATTCTCATTACAATTAGTAAACAACCTAGGGGGTGATACTTCTGCACATCTTGTTCCCCAACAGCCATTCACCCAGTGGGTCCAGCATCTGGTAGTGAGCACTGCCTGAGCCAGTTATCACATTGGTATTTGCAAAATAGTGATTTTCTAATTCTTCTTCTTCTTCTTTTTTTTTTGTATCTCTATTATATACTGGAATTCTTTAATTTCTTCCTATTCCTCTCTCCCTCTTTTTTTTTTTTTGTCAGTATGGATTCATGCATTATTATTTATTTACTTTGTTATATCAATTAGTCATTCTTCATAAGGTTCAAATTGGCCAGCTTCTGTCCTTCTGTCCTGTCTCCATCATTCTTTGGGTGCTTCCTGCTTTGTGACACTGTAAGATGTCCTAGGCCCACTTTGAACTTTCCTAGCCCTAGAATCAACTGTTTTTTAAGGAGTCTTGTTTTTTTGAGGCTGTGGTATTTAGAGACCAAGGTCTAGGTGCTGCGTGTGTGCATTGCTTTCTAGGTTCTTTCAGTGAACAAAGCTAGAGACTTGGCTTTTTTTTTTTTTTTTAATTTCCTATTAGTGTGTTTAATTTAAAATTAATGTTACAAGGACTTTTTTTTTTTGAGACAGAGTCTCACTTTGTTGCCCAGGCTGAAGTGAGTGCTGTGGCATCAGCCTAGCTCACAGCAACCTCAAACTCTTGGGCTTAAGCAATCCTTCTGCCTCAGCCTCCCGAGTAGCTGAGACTACAAGCATGCGTCACCATGCTCGGCTAATTTTTTCTATATATATTAGTTGGCCAATTAATTTGTTTCTATTTATAGAGATTACAGTCAGTATGCCCTTCAAGTTACTTGAAATAGTTCATTTCTCTAAGTATTCATGTTACCAATTATGTATACAATTGGGTTCATTTGTTTCTGTTTGTATTTAATTTTATGGTTTGTTTCTTTTTAACTTGTTGAATGTTTAAAAGAGTAACCTGACTCAAAAATCAAAACTAAACTATAAAAAAGTTGTTCTTAGACATGTCATTTCCACTGTTGCCCTTCCCCCAAGTAGACAGGTAATCAATTTCATTTATTTCTAATTTGTCCTTCCGGTGTTTCACCTTGCAAATTCATATATTCTTTTTCTCCTTTTATTTTTCATTTTTTAAGAAGGAGAGTCTTTGCTCTGTCACCCAGGCTGGAGTGCAGTGGCACAGTTATAGCTCACCACAGCCTCCAACTAATTCCTGGGTTCAAGTGATTCTCCTGCCTCGCTGGGATTACAGGTGCGCACCACCGTGCCTGGCTAGCTTTTAAAAATTTTTTGTAGAGACAGGGTCTCAGTATGTTGCCCAGGCTGGTCTTGAAATCCTAGCCTCAAGGGATCCTTCTGGCTTGGCCTTCCAGGCCTTCCAAAGTGCTGGAATTACATGGAGCCCAGCAATTTTTTCTCCTTTGTTATGCAAACTGTAGCATCCTGTGGATACTTATTTTGCATCTTCTTGCTTTTCCTAAACAATCTACCCTGGAAACTACTGCATATTCTCATTTCTTCTTGCCAGACATGTTGTTTTCAGGTTTTGATGATTATAAGTGATTGCCCCTGTGGCTGCTGTCATGCCCATGTCCTGGTGTGAGTGTGCAGAGAGTTCACTAGGGTCAGAGTGGAGTGGATCTGCTGGATGGTTGGGTGTGTTCCTCCACCCTTCTACGTGATGCTAGGTGGTACTGTACTCCGCATATTCTAGACAGGGCCACTGAGACACAGAGGCAGAGGGGCTCACTCAAGGGCTCAGCACTGAGACCACCTGTACTCTTCCCTGGACACCTGCCTTGGCATTCCAGCTATCATCCTGGTGCTCAGCCCACCACATCTTTTCCCCCTCAGGCTCCCCACCAACCAAGCGGCAGCGGCGGAGTCGGGGGCGGCCCAGCGGTGGTGCCAGACGGCGGCGGAGAGGGGGTCCAGCTGCCCCCCAGCAGCAGCAGGAGCCAGCCAGGCCTGCCTCTGAAGGCAAAGTGACCTGTGGTAGGTGTTTGGGGAACGCACACGTAGTGCCCAGAGCAGACTGTAGAGTCAGAGGGTGGGAGGAATGGCCTGGGATTTGATGCACCTGGCAGAGAAGCTGCAGTTCTCATTCTCCCTCTCAGCACAGAGAAATTCTTTTCCTTTCTCTTGCCATCTTGTTTGTCTACATCCTGCCCATAGTTGAGGGACCTACTTGTGGACACCTCCTTTGGGGAGCCATCCCTGTTAGCCCCCTGCCCTAGTTTCATTTGTTTATTCAGCAAACTTCTGGAGGGTTTCCTTATTCTATAGTCATTTCTTGTGCAGTGGTGCACTATCACAGGGGTTAAAAAAACAAGGACCCTGGGCCAGGCTGCATGATTCATATCCTGGCCTTGACACTCAACATAGGCTCTCTGACCTTGGGCAGGTGGTCGTACCTCTGTTGGCCTCAGTTTGCATATCTGTAAAACGAAGCTAATAATGGCACCTCCCAACTAGGGTTGTTATGAGAAAAACAAGGTAACCCACTTGGGACAGTGCCTGGCTCAGGGCACGTGGTAGGTAAGGGTCTGCTGTTATCCTCGCTGTTGCTGTGCAGCATGCTTGGAGCAGGACTGCAGCAGCGAGGCCCCTGCCCTTGTGGAGCTGGCCCTCTGGTCAGGTGACACACTGGTGAACTGCAGATCATTTTAAACAGTGATAAGTGCCACGAAGAGAGGATGGGGAGCAGATGAGGGAGTCAGGTGGGGCTGCAGCTGGGCCTGGCAGGCCATGGGGCGGAGTGGGGGTGGGGGTGGGAGTTTGGATTTTATTCCACGTGTCAATTGCTATCAGAGGGTTTTAAGTAGGTGAGTGACATGATCTGGTACTTCTTTTTCAAGGAGCTCTGACCCCCTCTGGAAAATCAGTTGATAAGTGAGTGAGGGTTTATAAATTGCCCAGGACTGTGCTGGACATCCAGTATGTCTCTGTGAGGCGTGTGTATATATGTGTGTGAGGCGTGTATATAAATTAAGTTATATGGAAGCAGGGAAATGAGTGAAAAATCTGTGAAGTCCAATGAGGAGGAGAGGGCAGAGTTCTGGCCTGGGGTAGTCACGTTGGAGACGTGAGAAGGGGTGACTAAGGAAAGAAGGAAAGATTTTGGACATTGGGCTGACTGCAGACAGGTTGGGATGGGTGGGTTGGGGCCTCTGCCATGGAGACACATGCTCAGACTCACCCTTGAGAAATTCCACCTGTTCCCATGGGGAGGACACAGCCGTGGGCACCTCCCGTCCTATTTGTGGTACTCCCTTTTCTGAGTTGGGCAAGCCTGGTGATACAGAAGGGATCTGATGTGGTGTCCAAGCTTCCAGACTTCCCAGGCTGCCAGGGAGATGGACAAGGGAAGTGGCAGCCAGGCTGGTGTGACAGGTGCCACAGATAGTATGAGCACAAGGGCTCTGGGGTGTGCAGGGAGCCCTCTGGCCAGCCCCAGTTTCCCTGTGGAAGTGCCACCTCCAGGACAAGCCTGAGGAAGCTGGAAGAGGAACTGGGGATGGCATTCCTGGAAGAGTGACCCATCCATACAGAGTGTCTACAGTGTGGGATGTCATCAGGTCTGAGTTAGTCTGTTGGGAGCAGAGGCTTTCTGGGTGGGAGCAGGGGGCAAGGGGCAGGTAGGAGTCCTGAAGGTTTGGACTTTATTCCGGGGCAGGAGGGAGCCATTGGAGGGTTCATTTATTAATTCCTATCCCTAGTTTTTATTAGTATCATCTCTGTGCCAGGCACTGTTCTAGGCATTGAGGACACAGAATTTGACTAGGTGAAGAAAAATCACTGGCCTCGGGGAATTTATATTATAGTGGGCAAGACAGATAACTCGCAAATAAGCTAGTATATCATGACATCAGCTAGCAAGTGCTCTAAAGAAACACAAAGCCAGGGAGCAGGTAGACAGAGCTGAGTGCTCTGTGGAACCTGGGGAAGCACCTCTGCAGAGGGCCTGAGACCACGTGGCGGGATGGGAGGAGGGAACTTTGGGGGACCTCAGGAGCACAGGGAGCAGCAGATGTACAAGGAGGAAGGGTTCAGGGGAGGAGGCTCATGTGGAAGCTGGAGGTCAGGAGACTAAGAAGGAGCTGGTGAGATGCTGAGACTCAGGATGGAAGATCAGCACAGCTCTGTGTCCCCAGGATACCTTGGCTTGGGGGTGCTTCCTGCTGCCATTTGCAGAGCCTTCTTCAGCCCACAAAGCACCCATCCCTGCCTCCTCCTAGTGCCCCTCATGGCCCTCCATGCAGTGGTGTGACACCCACTTCATAGATGAGGCCACAGTTAGCTGTGTTGGGTGCCATCAGGAGGAATAGGGCCAGCCCTGGGTCCTCAGCTCCTGGCTTGAGGGGCAGGGCTTGAGAGGGTGGCTGCCTGGTGGTGACTGTCTCCCAAGTCAGAGCCACCAGGCTGGCTGGGCAGGTGAGGGAGTCACTGCCTCAGGGTGGACAGGAGCAGGCTAAGGGAAGCTTCAGGTCTTTTCCCTGAGGCCAGGAGGTTGTTACCAGGGTGTGGCGGGGCTTGATGGGAGTAAGCAGGTCTGACTGCTGACTCACCAGGCAGGGTGGGGCTGGAGTGAGGCTCTCCCCATCTGGGCCCCTGTTTTCCTTTCTGAGAAATGGAATGGCTTACTTCAATGAGGCCGAATGCCAGATGTGGAAGGAGGCCCTCTTAACTGGTTGTAGGAGAGGCCAGCCGATCTTACTTCTTGCCTGTGACATCTAGAGGGTTTGGCCCCCCAGTCAGCTGCTCCTCCATAGAGGGGTAGAACTCGACTAAGCTCTCAAGTGACTGAAGGTGTGAGGAGGGGAACTTGGGGATCGTGGGCTTGGACACAGGATATCTGAGTTTCCGTGTCGCTCTCAGGGTGAGTGCTGGGCGTGTTGCTCACCTGATCTTGAATTCTCAAGACAGCCATTGAGGTAGGGGTGACTTCCCCCATTGTGCAAAGAAGGAAGCAGGCTGGCAAAAAGGAAGTCACTAGTCTGAGTGGCAGGGGCAGAGCTGTTCATTTGTTTATTCCATGTGGAATATCATATATTCCATACATATTTAATAGAGCACTTACTACATGCTAGGCATAGCAGCAATGGGAGCCCTTGCCCTCATTGAGCTTGTGTTCTGGTGGGAGGAGAAAACAAAGAGACAGAGATTTCAGATGTCAGGTTAAGGGTGTTCCAGATGGAGGGGACTGGAGGAGCAAAGTCCCAAGTGAGAGTGTGCCAGTGGTGCTTAAGGGGTGGGCAGGAAGCGTGATAGAGGCTGGAATGGAGGCGAGAAGGGCTAGGAGGTGTGAGGCAGGAGAGAGCCTGGTGAGCCATGGCCTGGGCTTTGCATTTTTTTTGAGACAGAGTCTCACTTTGTTGCCTGGGCTAGAGTGCCGTGGCGTCAGTCTAGCTCACAGCAACCTCAAACTCCTGGGCTCAAGGGATCCTCCAGCCTCAGCCTCCCCGGTAGGTGGGACTACACGTGTGCACCACCATGCCCGGTTAATTTTTTTATATATTTTTAGTTGGCCAATTAATTTCTTTCTATTTTTAGCAGAGACGGGGTCTTGCTCTTGCTCAGGCTGGTCTTGAACTCCTGACATTGAGTGATCTGCCTGCCTCGGCCTCCCAGAGTTCTAGGATTACAGGCATGAGCCACCTTGCCCGGCCTGGGCTTTGCATTTTTTTAAATTATGGCAAGTATTTTTTTTCTTTTTTTCTTTTTTTTTGAAACAGTGTCTCACTTTGTTGCCCAAGCTAGAGTGAGTGCTGTGGCATCAGCCTAACTCACGGCAATCTCAAACTCCTGGGCTCAAGCAATCCTACTGCCTCAGCCTCCCGAGTGGCTGGGACTACAGGCATGCACCACCATGCCTGGCTAATTTTTTCTATATATATTAGTTGGCCAATTAATTTCTTTCTATTTATAGTAGAGACGGGGTCTCGCTCTTGCTCAGGCTGGTTTTGAACTCCTGACCTTGAGCAATCCGCCCGCCTCGGCCTCCCAAGAGCTAGGATTACAGGCGTGAGCCACAGCGCCCGGCCTATGGCAAGTATTAATAGTTGGAGGATTTGAATGACAGGATCAGCTTTGCTCCCCACCACCTCTCACAACTTTTGTTATGGAAAACAGAGCAAAGCAGGTTCGATAGCATAACCAGCCCTTAGATCCCCATCACCAAGCTTCAGTCGTCAGCTCATGGCTGAGCTCATCTCACCAGCCATGTTATTTTGGAGTCAATTCCAGTTTCATCTGTAGATGTGCCAATGTGTATCTCTGAAAGATAAAAATTCTGTAGGATGCTACATCGAAAAAATGAATAACTCGTTACTATCAAATATTTAGTCAGTGTTCACATTTCTGATTATTTCTTATAAATATTGGTTCTTTTGAGTGTCTCCTCCTCTTTAGGATTCCCCACCATCTGCCCCTTACCCCTTAAATTGTACCTGTTGAAAGCAGTTGTCCCGTAGCATTTCCCAAAGACTGGATTTTGCCGATTGCATCATCCATTAGAGTTGATTTAATGCATTCTCCTGTCATCTGTATTTCTCGAAAATCAGATTCTCGTTTGATGTTTTGTTTTTTTCCCAAGCTCACTTCCGAGGGGCTATTGTGCTCTTCCATCAGGAAGCAGGCAGTGGCTGCCTGTCTTTTTTTGGAGTTAGAGCAGCTTCTCCTCATTGCCTTAGTTCATTAGTTCAGTAGGAGTTGAAGGGCTTTACATGTGTCATGATGACCTTGGCTTTGTTGTGGGGAAGAGACAAATGAGGCCAATGTGGTGGCTGATGCTTCGGAGGGTCCCACTGTTGTCCAGAAGAGGATGGTGCTGGTCTGGTGTGGCAGTGGGATGGGGCCTTTCCACTGAAGCCTGCTGGCTGCCTCTCTGCACCAGGGCCGGAAACTCCCCACCAGTGCTGTGGGAACACGGGTCTGCCTTGTCCCCAGCCCTCCCAGCTAGGAACTCTTGAAGGGAAGACCTGAGTGAGGTGCAT